CCATAAAGGTTAATAAAATGATTAAATAAAGTTGAGTATATGAAATTTACACATTAATAATTACCAATAACAATCCTTCTAAAAAAAACCGAATAATGTGTTTTTAACTATTCACAGCGTAATTATCAAAAAATATATAGGGGGTAAAATTCCTGCAGCGAACTAAGTAAAAAAAAAGTTGATCGGATCGGGCTGTAACTTGCACATAGTTTAGCCCTAGAGGTGAGTAATTTAACCACGAAGTAATGTTAGGTTTTTTCAAAAACTGTTGGAGAGTAAGGGTGTTGAATTTTTTTGAAAAATTTAAACAGTGAATTTTTGAAAACTTGTAACTTTTAAACAGAAAGATGAAAAAATATTTGTCCTGTATGTTTTGGAAAGTTTTTTTCCTGCTCTTTCAAATGGTGGAACAAAATTTTCAAAAAATTTAAATTTTAACCCTTTTTAGGGTTCCGTACCCGAAGGGGGAACCTTATTAATGAGACTAGTGAAGCAAGGCATGTACCCCCCCTAGCGGCCACACGAATATATCTAGAGGGCTGAAATTTGGTACACATATGTATTTTGGCGTGTATATTACAGGAAAAATATAACGAATCTCATAGGAATTGATTATCATAGCGTTGTCAAGGAAAAACCATAAATTTTTACGAAAAATCCCTAAAAATGACTATGTACCCCCCCCCCTGGTGGCCACATTTTTTCACATAGAGAGCTCAAATTTGGTACACTTATGTATTTTTACGTGAAAATTACAGGAAATATATAGCGAACATGATTCGGATCGATTTACATAGCGTTGTCAAGGAAAAATCAAAAATTTTGAAAAAAAGCGTTTAATCCTCCTAGCTCATACACTATTTGACCAATACAGTTCATATTTGGTATACATGCGTATTTTTGCGTATAGATTACAGAAAAAATTCAGCGAGCACGGTTGGAGTTGATGATCATATTGTTTTTAAGAAAAACTCATATATTTAGAAAAAATCATGTATTTTTCGAATAAAAAAAGAAGAAAATTTTATCTTAAGGGAATCAAATTTATATATTTTTACGTGTAGATTTCAAAAAAAATATAGCGAGAACGATTGGAGTTGATTATCATAGCAATTTCAAGAAAAAACTGATAATTTTCGATAAAAATCATGAATTTTCTTCAAAAAACGAAGAAAATTTTATCTAAAGGGCTTCATATTTATACATTTTTACGTATTTTTACGTGTAGATTACAAGAAAAATATAGTGAGTATGATTAGAGTTGATAATCATAGCGTTTTCAAGGAAAAACTGATAATTTTTGTTATATGTGACTAATGTGTATATCTATGTGCTTTTATGCTCACATTACAGAAAAAATTAAGCAAAATTGGATTTTTTCCACCAGCCTTCACACTTTAACCCACTTAAATTTTAGGTTTAATGGTACGGAACCCTCGGTTTTAATGCGAGTGTAACTCGCACTTGTCCGATTTTTTTAAATTAAACTTTTTTTCAAATTTTTTTTAAGTTCGTTCCTTTTTATTTATTTTTTTTTAAAGCTAAAAATGTGTATTTACACAACAAATAATATTGAGTTGTTCGATTTTGTTATTTTCGAGATTTTAATTAATTAATGTTAATAAAAAATGAAACATTACACAAATAAATAAAGTTATTGCAATTCTAAAGCTACTAATTAAAAGCTGACGTAATACCGCATCCAGCGAGCCCTATATGAACTATTTTGTATTCCCTGGCGGATTTGATTTACCTAAATTCGACCCAGCTGGGGCGAATCTAAGTCGAATTTAGGTAATTATCAAAAAAAAGCTTTAAATTGATGAAAATTTATAAAAATTAGTATTGTGAGGTTAAATGAACATTTATAGAGTTAATTTTTGTAAGAATTTTAATTATTAACGTGATAAATAATAAATAATCACTTGATATGTGCAAGTGGTAACTGTAGATTTTAACTCGTTATCAGTTTTCATAATATTTTCAAGAAATTAGTGTAAAATGTGTGAAAAAATAATTTATATTTAATAGAAATTGCAAATTTTATTAAATTATTTTATTATTTATCGAGCACAGTTTAAAATAATTGCAATTTAATTTAAAAAAAAGTTTTCTTAAAAGTGATAAGAACTCTACTATACCGACAGCAAGAGGATATTTTCAGGTAAGTAAAGTTATTGTAGCGTGTAGTTTTGTTGTGACTAAAAGATGTCGCTTTAGTTTCTATAGTGATCAGATATAAGATAGAACAGAGATGAATATTCATGAATATTTGATCATGAGATTCGATGTTCCTGTCTGATCACTATAGAAACTAAAGCGACATCTTTTAGTCACAACAAAACTACACGCTACAATAACTTTACTTACCTGAAAATATCCTCTTGCTGTCGGTATAGTAGAGTTCTTATCACTTTTAAGAAAACTTTTTTTTAAATTAAATTGCAATTATTTTAAACTGTGCTCGATAAATAATAAAATAATTTAATAAAATTTGCAATTTCTATTAAATATAAATTATTTTTTCACACATTTTACACTAATTTCTTGAAAATATTATGAAAACTGATAACGAGTTAAAATCTACAGTTACCACTTGCACATATCAAGTGATTATTTATTATTTATCACGTTAATAATTAAAATTCTTACAAAAATTAACTCTATAAATGTTCATTTAACCTCACAATACTAATTTTTATAAATTTTCATCAATTTAAAGCTTTTTTTTGATAATTACCTAAATTCGACTTAGATTCGCCCCAGCTGGGTCGAATTTAGGTAAATCAAATCCGCCAGGGTTAGAGGATTTTTACATTCTCATCACATGAGAAGGTATTATAATTGGTCGAAAATTGTTTATAAACAATTTCAATGTTAGCTAATTGTTTATTAACAATCCACTAATCCAAGTACTTCATATAGGGCTCGCTGGATGCGGTATTACATCAGCTTTTACTTAGTAGCTTTAGAATTGCAATAACTTTATTTGTTTATAAAAGATATCATTTTTATTAACCTTAAGATTGGTGAAAAAAAAAAAATTTAATTAAAAATTTTACTCACATTTTATAAAAAACAAAAATTTTTTTGACTTTTTTTCAAAATTGTTTTTTTTAATTTTTAAATTATTTTTAGAAAATTTAAAGCGTATACTTGCCAAACAAAAAATATGGAAATGTCTTTTTTTTGTCTTCGAGTTATTTATTAATTAATAAATTTGTGTTAATAAAAAATGATATATTTTATAATCAAATAAAGTTATCGTAATTATGTTACTAAATGAAAGTTGACATAATTCCGCATGCAACGAGCCCTATGTGAAGTATTTTGTATTAGTGGATTGTTAATAAACAATTGGCTCACATTGGAATTGTTTATAAAAAATCCTCTAATTCAAAATAGTTCATTTAGAGCTCGTTGGATGCGGAATTACGTCAGCTTTCAATTGGTAGTTTCAGAAATTTTATAACTTTATTTATTTGTAAAAAATTCATTTTTGATTAACATTAATTAATTACTTAATTAATATCTCGAAAATCACAAAAAAGGACAACTTAATATTTTTTGTAGTGAAAATACACATTTTTAACTTTAAAAAAATAAAATAAAACAAGTAGGGGGTCCTTTATGTTTATTTCATAAACATTATGCTTCCTCATTGTGTGAAGCAAAAAATTCGCTTCCTCGTGAAGGAATCAATGAATTTGTCCAATTCAATTGATTGATTTAAAAACTTTCGAATTAAAAATGTTTTAAATTAATTAAATTTTTTGAAAAATAAAGAAAATTTTAATTAATTTTGAGTGTAACATAAACTTTATATATACGAATCGATTCGTTTTAATGCAAGGAATACAATTATTTTATTCATCAACTTGAATTAAAAAAAAACACAAAATTTTTTAGCTAAAATATGAATTTTCGATTTTTCAATTTTTATTAATTCTCAAATTTTAAATCAAATCTATACTTTATATATAGCAACCAATTCGTTTCAATGCAGGGAATAAAATTATTTCATATATAAACATGAATTTAAATAAACACATCATTTTTTAGCTAAAATGAGAATTTTTGATTTTTTAACTTTCTTTAATTCTTTAAATTTCAATCAAATCTATACTTTATATATATCAATCGATTCATCTTGACATAAAGAAGACGATTATATTATATATTACCTTAAATTTTTCGATTTAAAAATTTTTTCAATTAAAAAAAATTTTTTAGAAAAAAGACGATAAAATTTTTTTTTTTGGGTATTTTTAAAAATCCTCTCGTCATTTTTGAGAGATTAATGTGTTAAATAAGCCTACCAAATTTTATCCAAATCCATTAAAACCTGTTAAAGATATCGTGTTCACAAAAACGATCCACACACACATACACACACACACACACACACACACATACACACACACATACATACATCCGGACAATTGATCAGGATCTCATATAACATGTTTCTATATAGAGGAAAATTTGTTTTCACCATTTTTAAAAAGTTTATAAACGAAAGGACTACATAGCTTCCTCCACGAGGAAGCAAAAAAGACCGATCTTTAAAAAAAAGTGAAAAAATTTTTTGATTTTCAGAAAAGGTCAATTTTTGAATTCTTTGAAAAAATTTTTACACTATTCGAAAGATCAGGAAAAACCTTTCGAAAACATATAGGTCAAATTTTTTTTTCATTTTTCTGTTTATGTTGTTAAATTTTCTATTCTCATTGCTTAAATTTTTCAAAAAAATTGAACCCCTTCCCTCTTCTATAGTTTTTGAAAAAACCCCTGAGGCTGATCTATGTGCAAGATATACCCCGATCCGATCAACATTTTTTTTCACTTAGTACGTTACAGGAATTTTACCCCATATATTAAATGTTTATTTTTTAGTTTTGCTGAGTTTTTTACGATGAACTTCAAATTTGGCTAATACTTTACTACAAAAGTCATATTTTTTAATGCTTTTCTTACATTTCTTATTAAATAATACTTACGCAACATTAGTCACTTCGTTGCTAACATGATATTTCCCATCAGGTCCTATAGTATAGTTTGCCCTTACACAACGGGAACCCACTTCCGAAAGTTGAAAAGACCTTTCGGTTTCATACCAGATTCCCAAAAACTGTAACATTTAAGAGACTTGTAACTGATAGATAATTTTCAGTTTTTGAAACTTCATATTTTTAAAACAATGTTTATTAATACAATATTTTTTCGATTTATTATATTAAAAAAATTAAAATAAAAAAAGTTTTCAAAAAAAAATTATTTTTTAAAATGAATTCCATTTTTATTCATTAAATTATTTGATGCGAAAGGTAAATCGTAGATTTTTAACATAACGATTTTTCTTTCAATTATGGAACTTATACTTGCATGATTTACATTTAAAATGAAAGAAGCTTTAATAATGATAAAAGTTTACCTTTGACATATCAAAGTTCGTCATGGGTACGTATTCTGGACACCAGCCCAAATTTGGTATTTGTCCCCTGACCATTGTCAAGGCCGAAATAAGAGCAACGATCTTTTTCATTATTTGTTGAAGACGATCTGTGTTTAGGATCTCTGATCTCCGTTCCTTTTATACATTTTCTGCAGTGGTCAGGAGCGATGACCGCACGTTTTTGCCCCTTTCCTCGCACACAACTTACACATGTATATGGCTTTATGTTACACTTTACGGTATTTACTTCTTCTTGGTTCGAGAACCTTTTAAGTTGCTGCTCATTGGTCGATAATTCTGCACACTTCTTTACGAGAAGATTCAGTAATCTTGCGACACTCTAAAATAATAATAAAACCTCTAAAGAAAGAACAAACTGGATTTCTAACAACGGTACTTTTTATATGTTGTTACCATCCTTACATTATATAGACACATTCAACAGCAGCTATCAAAAATTGAAGTTCGAATTAATGTGTTCCTTATAATAATAAATTTCAAACGCAATTTAAAAATATTATTATTGTTTTTTTTAAATGCTTCTTATCTAAGTTTAAATTGATTTATAGAAATAAACTAAACTTTATATAAAAAAAATTATTCTTATTTAGCAACAATGTTTAAATTCTTTTTTTGTCCTTAAGGGTCAGAGGTATTATCCTATATAATCTATTGTAGTGACATTTCTACTTCATTTTAAATTTTGGCTAGCTCCATCAGTAAAATTTAAATAATTTTCACAACTAGTCAGTGAAATTTCACTGATAATATGGCGCAGGCATTGAGGATTAAAGGTATATCCATTAAATCATAAGTAAAACTTTAAACGCGTTTTTCTCAAAACTACTTTTTTTGAAATAACCAGAAATATAACTTTCACAAATCTCAACCAATTTACCTGAAAATTTAACTGTATTTTTTTAATAACATTATCCACAGAAAGGCGTACAGATTTTTTTTAAGTTTCATATTTATAAAGTTATAAACAATTTAGTGCCTATTTTTTTTAGAAAAAACTCTGTTTTTCCAAAAAATGTACGCCATTTTTGCAAAAATCGATAAAAAAACCCCCATAGCACCGAAACTTTCCTAAAGATATCCTAAAGATTTTTTTGAAATGTTCGGAATGTTTATTTGTAATGTTTAGTTCAGAAAAGTTTCACAAAATTCCACACTAAACATTTATTTAATCAGGATATTTAAATCTTTACGCAATTTTCACTAAACGTTGCAATTAAATATTTCGAACATTTCAAATAAATCTTTAGGAAAGTTTCAGTGCTATGGGGGAAGAAATCCCCCACACTTGTAAAAAAGTTAAAAATTTGTTTATTTCATGACCATTTAGCTTCTTCATAAAGATAAACACTTATATATTATTAGTTTAAAAAAAATTCAAAATTTCAACTTTTTTGTTAAAATAAAAATACCGACAAATTTTATAAATGTTGGTAAAATGTAAACTTAATGTAGATTAATAGTTTTGTTTTGATGCCAGGAATACAACACTGACAAAATTTATTAAAAATTTTTATGAAGAAAAACGTTATTTCAAAAAATACGAAAATCGATTTTTTTAAATTAAAAAATTATTTAATTTATAGATTTTAAGTAAAATATAGACTTTATATAAGTTAATCAATTCGTTTCAATGTGAGAAATCAGTTTTTTTGACAAAAAAATTAAATGAAAAAAATTGTAAAAAATTTTTTGGTTAAAAAACGTATTTTCAAATGTTTGAAAAAATGACATAAAAAAAATTATATCGATATTTTTGGAAATCCTTGTGTCTGATTTTAGATATTGATGATTGCAATAAGCCTATATTTCAGGACAGTCCATCAAAGCGTGTTGAAGATAATTTGTACACAACATTTTGTGACATACGCACACACATACATCTCGACATTTGTTTAAAACTTCAAATATATACATTCTAGATAAAAATAAGCCCATATAACCCATTTTTAGAAAATCTAAAATCGTCACGAATACAAAGCTTTCTCGGGAGAAAAGGAAGCAAAAAGAAAAAAAAATTATTTTGTTCTAGGATGAAAATTGTAGCAAAATCTTTCCTGTCAAGTTTTAGTTATTCTCCTCAGAAACATTTTTAACAAATTTAAATTATGAACAGATGATTATTGAAAATCAATGTTTCAGCACCCCACGACACAAGTTGGAGGAGGTTGTCTACCTACTCGGCATGGTATTTTTTAGTCTTTTTCTAAATAACATTTTATAATTAATTTTTGATTCTTAGTAATACTTAATATTCGTTTTTTGACACAGAATTAGATGATCTTCCAAGTAAAAAAAGAATTGACGATTAATTTTGTTTGTTAGTAAAATATTTTATTTTTATTAACTTTTGTTAGTTAATTAATTAATATCTCGAAAACAAAAGCTAATGCCAACTCAAAAATTTAACCATCTATTTATTATGACTTAAACAATATTCATGATTTTTTTCGCGCTTCTAAATGAGGGAGAATATGTTTAAAAGTTATAAACAAATTTTATTTTTTAAATAAATTGTTTAAAAATTAATATTTTTTTTAAAAAATACTTTTTTTCTAAAAGTTTAAGGTCTTTTGCGTAAAATACATTTTTTCTATTTTTAGTAGGAAAAAAGTTATAAGTAAATTAAAAAAATATTGCTCAAATTTGTTATTGTAAATATCTCGAAAAATATTAAAAATTTTAAATTCAAAATTTGTACACTTATTTAGCACCACTATCACTACAATTTACGGAATTTTGAGAAAAATCCGAGACATGACCCCGTATTTTCATATGAAATGCCTCATATATGAGTCAAAATTCCTGAAGTGATTTAACTTTAAAATTAAAGGTTTTCGGATCGGCCTGAAATTTGCACAAACTTTACTACTATGGGTGAGTACTTCACCCACAAATTATTATTAATTTTTATGCAAAACTGTAGATGGGGGAGGGTGTTCAAGTCTTTCCTCAAATGTGAACGCCAATTTTCACTATCATTTTCGTAATCATATCATAAAAATTCGTTAATATATACTTACAAGTACTAAATTTTCCTCTAGTTATGATGTGCACTGTATTTCCGTCATTTTTCATGATGTTTTATGGTTTTTTGGATTTTTCTCGAAAAATATCCGCTTTTAGTAAAAAATGCAGACAACATAAAATGTGTGTTTTTTTGAGACCTACAACTTTTATTTGAATCATTTTTCGAAATATTGCGTTTTTTACGAGATAATCGCAAAAAACCATGATTTTATGGTGTTTTTTATGGTTTTTACCATGTTAATCACATTTGAGCCAATTTTCACTATCATTTTCGTAATCAGGGCACCAAAATACGTTAGTATATCAAATTTCATTAAGATCGGAGATGATACGCTTTCGGAACTTCACCCAAATTTTCAAAAAATTTAAATTTTGACCCTTTTTTTGAAAATTAAACTTTTTTTCAAACTGTTTTTTAAGATTGGTCGTTTTATTTTTTTTTTAAATTTTTTTTAAAGCTAAAAATGTGTATTTTCACGACAAAAAATATTGAGATATCCTTTTTTGTTATTTTCGAGATATTTATTAATTAATTAATTATTAAGGTTAATAAAAAATGAAACATTTTACAAATAAATAAAGTTATTGCAATTCTAAAGCTACTAAGTAAAAGCTGATGTAATACCGCATCCAGCGTGCCCTATATAAAGTACTTGGATTAGTGGATTGTTAATAAACAATTGACTAAAATTGAAATTGTTTATAAAAAATCCTCTAATCCAAAATAGTTCATATAGGGCTCGCTGGATGCGGTATTACGTCAGCTTTTAATTAGTAGCTTTAGAATTGCAATAACTTTATTTATTTGTGAAATATTTCATTTTTTATTAACATTAATTAATTAATTAATTAAATAATAAATTAATATCTCGAAAATAACAGAAAAGGACATCTCAATATTTGTTGTGGTGAAAATACACATTTTTAGCTTTAAAAAAATAAAATAAAAAAAAGACCGATCTTTAAAAAAAAGTGAAAAATTTTTTGATTTTCAGAAAAGGTCAATTTTTGAATTCTTTGAAAAAATTTTTACACTATTCGAAAGATCAGGAAAAACCTTTCGAAAACATATAGGTCAAATTTTTTTTTCATTTTTCTGTTTATGTTGTTAAATTTTCTGTTCTCATTGCTTAAATTTTTCAAAAAAATTGAACCCCTTCCCTCTTCTATAGTTTTTGAAAAAACCCCTAAGGCTGAACTATGTGCAAGATATACCCCGATCCGATCAACATTTTTTTTCACTTAGTACGTTACAGGAATTTTACCCCATATATTAAATGTTTATTTTTTAGTTTTGCTGAGTTTTTTACGATGAACTTCAAATTTGGCTAATACTTTACTACAAAAGTCATATTTTTTAATGCTTTTCTTACATTTCTTATTAAATAATACTTACGCAACATTAGTCACTTCGTTGCTAACATGATATTTCCCATCAGGTCCTATAGTATAGTTTGCCCTTACACAACGGGAACCCACTTCCGAAAGTTGAAAAGACCTTTCGGTTTGAAAGTTACAAGTCTTCAAGAATTCATTGTTTAAGTTTTCCAAAAAAATTCAACCCCATCCTTCTTCTACAGTTTTTGAAAAAACCTAACAATACTTCGTGCACGGTACGCCTGAAAAAATTTAACCCAACAGTCAAAACATTTGAAATTTTATTTTGGATTTTGGAAGTGTTATGTTCGTGGATTAAAAAAATCGCTGAACCAAAATATTCCATCGAGAGCTTTTTGAGAAAAACACCTTAAAAATTTTTTAAGTGTCAGTTTATTTTACAAATTCTATCTTATCATATGCAAATTAAGAATAAAACACACACATATATATTACATTTTTACTATGTATAAATTAATATTATTCAGATTTATTCTTTTAAAATGCATTTAATATGTACACTCACCCCCACAGCACCGAAACTTTCCTAAAGATTTCTTAAAGATTTATTTGAAATGTTCGAAATATTTAATTGCAATGTTTAGTGAAAATTGTGTAAAGATTTAAATGTCCCGATTAAATAAATGTTTAGTGTGAAACTTTGTGAAACTTTCCTGAACATTTATTCAAGTGGGACATTTAAATCTTTACACAATTTTCAC